AATGTGGATTTCAAGGGAAAATCATGCCTGACCAACTTGATAGCCTTTTACAATGAGATGACTTGTCAACAAGGGGACGCTAGTGGATATTGTTTATTGTGATGGTAGCAAGGCTTTTGACACTATCTCCTATAACATCCTCATTGACAAACTAATCAAATATGGACTAGATGAGTGGACAGCAAGTTGGATTGAAAACCGTCAGGCTATTAGGATTGTGATCAATGCCACAAAATCTAGTTAGAGGCCAATAAGTAGTGGTATACCCCAGGGATCAACTGGGTCCAGTACTGTGTACCTGGAGGATGGGGCAGAATGCACCCTCAGCAGGTTTCCAGATAACACAAAACTAGGAGGAGTGGCTGACACACCACATGGTTTTGTGCTGCCTTCCAGGGGAACATGGATGGAGAAATGGGCTAACAGGCACCTCATGAAGCTCAACAAAGGGAGATGCCAAGTCCTACTCCAAGAGATGGATAACCCTAGACACCAGTGCAGGCTGGGTAGAAAGTAGCTTTGCAAGACATCTTTAAAGAAATATTTTTTGGCATTGTTCCCTAGTTTTTCATTCATCATCCTTATTTTAAAAAACCAAATATTTTATACCTAAATTACATGAACAGATTTTCTTTGAAATGTGATGTATTTTGGATGCAATGTAATTGGATGTGTTTTCCTGCAAAAGAATTTAAAATACATCATTCCTAAGGTTTTATTTTTTCATCTAGGAAGCCTATGCTGTTTTAAATACATTTGAATTTGAGGTTACAAAGGAAGAATCAGAAGGAGTTGATACACTCAGATACTCTTTTAATAAATTACAGACCAAAGCTGTAAGTATATGAAACTATGTCATTTTCCATTTGTCTTTATGTACTTTTTTTATAGTACAAATAACAGTGTCGGACCGATTGTCATTCCACTCTGTCTTCTCACTCTTGGCCTCAGTCGCACACTAGTGTCTGTACCTTTGATTAGTAAGTTAATTTTCTGATTTTGTTTTTATAGAGTTCTTTAATACTTAAATATTATTGTAGCATTTAGATATATACTTAAAACCTGCAAGAAAATAAGAAATTTATTATGTATCTCTGCTATTTCTGCTCTCCTTCCTTTCCAGTCTTTGTGTCATTCTTGTCTGATCAGGAAGATTACTACCCTTAGATGATCTGGTTTTAAGAAGTGCATACTCTGCCAGTGCCCTTACCCCTGAGTGGTGACTGCACATTTACCTTTATTGCTTAGAACAGCCTTATATCCATCAAAAGCTCAATGTTTATTGAATATTTTCTGTAGCATAGAAGGTTAGAAATACGTAGATATTTTGTTGGAACAACTATGTTAGCTCCTGTCCCACAGATTAATCACTCTGGAAAGGACTCGAGCTCTAGAGTGTATTTTATGTTTCCATTTCATGTAGCTCTTGGTTCTTTCTCTCAAGTTTTCGAACAAAGAATAAAAAAGTTGTTAAACAGCAGGCTGAAGCCATCCATGAAGAAGAGAACCCACTTTGGTTTTTGAGAGGTTTTTTGGAGAGAGAGAAGGAAGGAAGAGAATAGGATTTAGTTTTTTTCCCCCTTTTCTGTGTCCTTTTGTTCCCCTGGGCTGTTGTGATGAAATATGTTCACTTAAAGGTGGAGGGGAGTTTTCATTATGATTTTTGGTTTTGTTTTTCTCTCCCCTTTTAATCTCAAAAATTTAATGTATAGCACCATAAAAGAAAAAAACACCTGTTTACCTTCAAATAATTAATTATTTTTCAGAATTTTAATACTTTTATTTACATTTTTTGTTTATATAGAACTCAAGTATCTGTTCCTGATTTTTAAAGAAATAACCTTTATTTTAATCTTTTGTGTGTCAGACCAAAGTTCAAGATCAGTTGTTTCAAGTTCAGCCCAACTTTAAGAGTAATTTGCTAGAATCAATTGCAGTTTTTCAAGAGGATGTGTCAAACTTTGAAATGTCATATGAAACGGTAAATGAATTTAGTAGTTACCTGTAAGACTTGTACTTAGTTTTTCAATATTTTTGCTTTGCAGCAGTTGAGTGCCAGAATTTTATTCTGCTGAGCTACTGAGTGTTTGATGCCATGGTTGCTAAGTAGTCATGACTATAGTTCAGACTTTTCAGTATGAAGAAATAGCCATGCAAACAACTCAGTAAGGAAAGAAAAGAATCCCTGGTGGTACAACTTGCCATGAAATCTTAATTTTCAAATTAGTTTAGAAATTAGTTTAGAAATTGTAGCACATTGTGGCATCTTTGCTCACACATCAACATTAAAAAAGATGGTTTCAGGCCACTCACTGACTATTTTCTTTTCAGCAAAATAGCAAAATATGAAAAATGAAAATCTAGTCCTCTTCAGTTTAAGATAAAGAATTTTCAATTTCATAAAAGTTGTATTTTCTTAGATTTACCATTCCAAGTATTGCATTACCAACATAAATAACTTGATTGGATTTTAACTATCAAAAAATGTGCATTTTGTGATGACCTGTAAATATACAATGGCCTTCAGTCACTTTGAGAATTAATATTCAATTTTTGTTAACTGCTTGTATGAAAGGAAGGACCTATGGTTCCAACTATTTCACCTCAGGAAGCCAGTAGAAGGCTACAGATCTTTCAGGTAAGAAAATAAACTGTCGAGTTCCCCAACAATTAAAATTAGATCTGCTATTGCTTAGCAAAACAAGTTTAGAAAAAGACATGTTTACAATCTTTGGTAAATGTGTCTTGGTGGGTATTCTGTGTAGTACTATGTTAACTATACTTCAGTTTCTATCAGGCAATGTTTTCCTTAATGTGGAAGGATGGATTGATTGATTGATGTGTAACCTTGCTTCACTCTTTGCGTTTTGTGAGTAGAAATTACCGACTTAAAGTAATAAAAGCAGTAGAAGAGGGAAGAGTCAAGTAGGACAACTCAATAATGACTGAAAAGACGCCAGGTTACATATCAGTCGCATGAGCCAATACTTTTATCTTTTAAAGATCACTTTTTTTTTTTAACAGGACTTTGTCAGTCTCTTACGTATTGTATAGACTCTATCAAAAGTAAAGTCAAAGTTTGTGAAAAGCACTAATTCAGTAACAGAAGGTGCTTAAACCTCCTAATGCATCTAATATGTACTGAAAATTGAGTGATTTTGGTTGAATTTGCTGTATTTATTATTTTGTCAAGAGAGTGCTTTGTACTTATGGATAGTAACTTCCAAAATCATCCTTCTTTCTGTTTTTCTATGGTGATCATATCCTTTGGACAGCAGTTATACTTTGAAAGGAATTGTATTTTTGTGGCACTCTTCCGTTTTTTTCAGGCTGTATATTTTACCATCTAATACAAATATTTTTATTTTTATTTTTTTCCTCAATGATGTGGAATTCATTTCGCATCCCATTTTTATAAAATACTTATTCAAATTACTGCTTCTTATGTAAACTTCCACTATTTGAGTTCAATATATGGATTTGAGTATTACAGTACCTGAGAACTGTTCAAAATTTTAGGTCAAAAATATTTTCAGACATTTAAAGTGCTTCTAATAAAATTATTTTAAGTCAGGTTTAGAACTGTTTAATGATTTATTATTAGACAATTTTAAAATAAAACTTACATTCTTAACATATTTTCATTTTGTCTGTATGAATCCTTATTTTATCAGGCTAACTTTGATGAGCTTTGGAGAAAGTTTACCACGTACTCATCTGGTGAACAGTTGTTTGGATTGCCTGTCACAGACTATGAAGTTTTGCATAAAGTCAGGTAACTGGAACTACAGCTGCCTTAGGTTTTTAAGTATGTTAGAAAGGCTTAGGGTACACCAAAGAAAGAAATATTACAATATGGCAGGTTTCCATTGCCTTAAATTAAATTAAAATAAATAGTAATCAATTAACATTTTAGAGGTCTAATGAATTTGCCAGTAAAATAATTCTATTTATTTATTACGGTAACAGAACCATACCAGATTATTTTACTACATGTAAATACTATATAAAGGAGCAGAATACTATGTCCTAGAAATATATATATACACACTTACATATAAGTAGATGAGTATTAAGATACAGTACAAAGCATGAACAAGGAAAAAGCAAGTAAAGGTCAGTGTATCATCATATATGAAAAATATGATTAGAGCTTTTATGAAAGTCTAAATTTTTTGAGCAGTTGTACAAATGAGAATCGGATTGTAAAGTTTCTGCACCAACCATTTCAATGGTTTGATGATGATTCATGTCAGATGAGAATCTGACCCTTTTTGGCTGTTTTTAGATGAAAGTTTTAGTTCAGATTCAGAGAGTGCTTCCAAAGTAAATCAACTGATTGTTCCCATTTGCTATGCTCTGCTTTGCACTGGACAGCCAGCTCAGGGTCCATAAGCTAGGTTCCTTTTGGATAAATGGGAGTTTTATAGAACTAGACTAAGAAAAACTTTTCCCAAATATGTTTAGTGTGGGTATTAGGTCCTTAGCCTCAACTGTCTGCTCCTTTTTGTAGATTTTATTCATGTAGTCTTCTTTTCTACATTAAGAAACATAATCTAATTTAGCTACCTCAATTTTTTGTACTAATATTACATATACCATGTATTTAACTATTGTGAGATATCCAAATAGCTGATTGAAATTGTCGGTATGATTTTTTTTTTTTCCCAGGAAGGAGTTAGGCATGCTTCAGAAGTTGTATGGGTTATATGATACTGTAATAAACAATATAAATGGTTATTATGATATACTTTGGACAGATGTAGATATTGAAAAAATTAATGCTGAACTTATGGATTTTCAGAACAGGTATGTTCATAATACAAATTATAACCAATGTTAAATGCATTAGGATTTAGGTGACTTCGGTAAAGCTGTTTGATATATTTAAATACAAAACTTCTATGAATAAGATTTATCATAAGGTAATAAGATTCTTCAAGGAAGAGTGGAATACCACTATACTTTTCATTAACCAGCCTGTTACTTGTAGTTTTGATAATTGGTAATCAAAGGGCATACGATCAGTTGAAGAGTCAATCTCCTTAGCTAGACCAACCAAGAGGTTAGGAGAGCTGGAAGTATATTTGTAAATGTAAGTTCTTCAGCTAGGAGGATTAACCCGTTGATTTGAAGCCCTGAATACAAGAATAACAAGTCTGAGTATTTTAGAATATTTTATCCTGTTTTTAAAATATTTCTGCCATTTCAAATACATTGACAGTGCTGAATGTCTTAAATGATACGAGTTTGTAAAAAAGTTACAAATATTGCAGTAGTGCTGAAAGCTTAAAATGGTTTTGACGCTGTTGAGAGAATTAGATTAGTTTGATTCAGAAGTATTTTCTAACCTTTTAATTTAACTCTATTATTTTCAAAAGTACATATATGATTTGGGGAAGAAATATAATATAGAAAACTGGACAAGGATTATTTTACAACAGAGTAACTGTATCATTGAGTGCAGTCCCCAACTCTCCTGCTACCTAAGAGTCCTGTTATGAGCTTGGCAAGCTCCATCCTAAAACAACTCCAGCTTTCTTGACAATTTCTTTGCACCACCAATCCTCCTATTAGAACAATATTCCAGAATCTTCCATTATTAATTTCCAAAATAAAGGCATGAGTAATTGATGTATGTTTGTACTTGTGCCAGTATTTGGTATTTTAGAGTGTATCTACACTACAGTTATGGAGCAGTTAAAATAGCTTTAAATAAATCTTAGATAATGTTAATATATAATTTCTGAAATACAGAGCTCCACAAGAGCTAAATTCTATTACTATCCAAACTGACATTTGTTTAAGGTAGTTCAAGTAGAAGTGTATAAAAGGACAATCTGTTTTGTAATTGCAGCGAAGAGAAAAACCTTTAGTATGACTAGTTCTTTCTTAGCCTGTTAAGTACACATCCCACCTATTTACCCATCATTTCCTTCCATTCTCCATTTTGGCAACATATCTTACCTCTTGGTGTTACTTAGGCAGTTTTTCGTGGCTTATCACACTGAGGTAATCGAAAAACAGTAGCATAAACTTCCTAAACTAGGGAGAACGTACCTGTACTACAGAATGTGGAATTTTGCTTTGTTTTTTGTTTGCCAATAAAGAGTTTAGGATGATAAGCAGAAGATATGTTTTAATTCAAACTGCAGTATTTCTGTTTATTTGCAAAGAACATATCAGTAATTAAAACTGTTAAATATGATTTGTTAGTAGGGCATTTGCATTAGGTTTTTTCCTAGAAAGATAGACTATTTGACACAAATTGGAATTTTACATAGAAAATGTTGACCTCAATACAAACTACTTCATATCTCCTTGTCTGTTTTCAACATGTTTAAACAATTCCTATTTTGACAAGCGGCCTTTACTACTGTTTCAATCTAACTCAACTGCAGGTGCCATAAACTGCCTAAAGGACTCCAACACTGGCAAGCATTTTTAGATCTCAAGAAAAAAATTACTGATTTTAGTGAGTCTTGTCCTTTGTTGGAATTGATGACTGACAAAGCAATGAAGCAAAGACACTGGAATCGTATTGCTGAAACAACAGGACATCAATTTGATATAGAATCTCATTCCTTTTGCCTTCGAAACATAATGGAAGCACCAATTCTTAAACATAAAGAGGATATTGAGGTAGGTACATACATTTTTTTTTCTCCTTTTTCATTTTATATTGTCAGCAAAATAATATGATTACTTATAAAATGTTCACATTTTAAAAATATTTTTTAATTCGTTGAAGTCCTTGACTCTCAGTCAGACTACACTAGTTTAAAGTAATTTATATTTTGTTTAGAAGTTCTTATCCATATGAAGAAAGATAGAGACAGCAGCTGGAATCTTCGGACATTTATTTAGATACTCTCTTCACATTCTTCCTGGCCCTATTTTCTGTGATTTTCTTAGCTCTTTTTAAACAGGAAAGAAAACTAAACAAAACCTCAAATTATCATGGTTATCTAATTTTTTAATTCTATGATTGCTTTAAAGATTTGTAATTAAATCAGAAATTTTAGAGAAAAGCTCCATGCTTATTAATATTTAATATGAATGCTTTTCTAGATCTTTATGACTTCTTCTGAGCCATACAATTTCCAAAGATCTCCCACACAAACTGAAAAAAAACTTTAAATGGATTTTGCAAGTTTTAGAGGGTAAATACGCATGCAAAAGCTACGAAGATATTCATACTTGTTTTATATGGAAGTGTTCCAAGGTGATCTCCTTGATTTTGAATCAAGCTCTGATTTGAATGGAATGTTGGACTTGCTGACCTTTCCAACCTAAACTCTTCTTAGATTTTCTGATTCTGTAGATTGAAATGTGATAAGATTGAAAGTTCATCTGGTGATGAGTCTACATCACTACCCTAAACCTTGTAGAAATGATGGTTCAGAAATCTTGTTACGCAGAAGTAACAAAATCTGAAGCTACAGAAATGATATATCTATGCATTTCCAAGTGCATTTCCACTTTTCAGTTATCCATACATGTAATTTCAGTAAGTAAAATTAGTAGCATGATCTCTGCATTTGTGTGACACTTTTCTATACTGTTTTATAAAATTTAATACATTGTTTTTAAATATTCTATCACTAGATGTATAATACTAGGAAAGATTTCTCTTCTGAAGAATGAAGATTCTAAAAAATGATTCATTCTTTTCAGGATATATGCATATCTGCTACAAAGGAAAAGGATATAGAAGCCAAACTATCTCAAATAGCTGACACTTGGGAAAGCCAAATTCTGAGCTTTTCATCATTCAAAGGGAGAGGAGAATTACTGTTAAAGGGAACAGAATCATCAGAAATTATAACGTTGATGGAGGACAGTTTAGTAATTCTTGGCTCTTTGCTGACCAATAGGTACTTTTAAATTGATTGTATATGGTATTTTCAGAAACACATGGAGATAGGAATTGTACTATTATTAGGCTAAATGAGCAGTAAATTTTAATGTAATATTATTTTTTAATGAAAAAGAATGTTACAATGTGGAAGACTTTCATATATTAGTACCAAACTATTGTCTCAATATATTTTAATGTAATCAAGCTGGTAGAAATTTTCCACCAGATTCTTCTTGCTCTAAGGGAAACGAGTGTTGTTTGGGGATTTCTTCTCCATTGTGATTATTGATTTTATAATAGATTTATTAAGAATTAAATAATTTCTGCTTCTCATTCTTTTTTAGATACAATACACCATTTAAAAAGGAAATTCAGAGCTGGATTTCTAAACTAAGCAGCTCTACAGACATAATTGAAGAATGGCTGGTTGTGCAGAACCTCTGGATTTATCTCGAAGCTGTTTTTGTAGGGGGAGATATCGCTAAACAGTTACCTCAGGTAAACTTTACAATGGCTGCTTATTATTGTGTATTAAAAGCTATCTGTGTAATAACTTCAAATAGATAATGCTGTGAAAGTACTTACCATTTTTGCTATATATATAGGAAGCAAAGCGTTTTCAGAATATTGACAAATCATGGATAAGAATAATGCAACGAGCTCGTGAAAACCCAAATGTAATTAACTGCTGTGTTGGAGATGAAACTATGGAGCAACTTCTCCCTCGTTTACATGAACAGTTGGAAATATGTCAGAAATCACTTACAGGGTATGAATTGTTTGACTTTTTACCAGTGGATGTGGTCTATCTTGACTTCAGTAAAGCATTTGACACAGTCTCTCACGGCATACTCACAGCTAAACTGAGGAAGTGTGGTCTGGATGGTCTGATAGTGAGGTGGATTGTGAACTGGCTGAAGGATAGAAGCCAGAGAGTAGTGGTCAATGGGACAGAGACCAGTTGGAGGCCTGTATCCCGGAGAGTCCAAGGGTCAGTACTGGGACCTGTATTGTTCAACATATTCATCAAAGACTTGGATGAGGGAATAGAGTACATGGTCAGCAAATTTGCTGATTATACTAAACTGGGAGGAGAGGCTGACACACCCGAAGGCTGTGCTGCCATTCAGAGAGACCTGGACAGGCTGGAGAGTTGGGCGGGAAGAAATTTAATGAAATACAACAAGGGCAAGTGTAGAGTCTTGCATCTGGGTAAGAACAACCCCATGTACCAGTACAAGTTGGGGACTGAACTGTTGGGGAGCAGCACAGAGGAAAGGGACCTGGGGGTCCTGGTGGACAGCAGGATGACCATGAGCCAGCAATGTGCCCTGGTGGCCAAGAAGGCCAATGGCATCCTGGGGTGTATTAGAAAGAGTGGGTTAGTAGGTCGAGAGAGGTTCTCCTCCCCCTCTACTCTGCCCTGGTGAGGCCACATCTGGAATGGTGAGGCCCAGTTCTGGGCCCTTCAGTTCAAGAAGGACAAGGAACTGCTTGAGAGAGTCCAGTGCAGGGCCACAAAGATGATTAAGGGAGTGGAGCATCTCACTTATAAGGAAAGACTGAGGGAGCTGGGTCTCTTTAGCTTGGAGAAGAGGAGACTGAGGGGGGACCTCATTAATGTTTATAAATATGTAAAGGGTGACTGTCATGAGGATGGAGCCAGGCTCTTCTCACTGGCATCCAGTGACAGGACAAGGGGAAATGGATATAAGCTGGAACATAGGAGGTTCCGCTTAAACATGAGGAAGAACTTCTTCCCAGTAAGGGTAACAGAACACTGGAACAGGCTGTCCAGAGAGATTGTGGAGTCTCCTTCTCTGGAGATGTTCAAAACCCGCCTGGACGCGTTCTTGTGTGATCTAATCTAGGTGGTCCTGCTCCGGCAGGGGGATTGGACTAGATCATCCTTTGAGGTCCCTTCCAATCCCTAACATTCTGTGATTCTGTGATTTTTAATGCTCATTATTTTGTAAATAGTATATATAAAATATTAATAGTATTTCAGTCTTACTTTCACTCTTATGTAGAAAAAAATGAAGAGCTGAAATACTCTAATAAAAATCTTGTCTAATTTTGAAGTTACTTAGAGAAGAAAAGACTACTGTTTCCCAGATTCTTTTTTGTTTCTGATCCTGTCCTTCTTGAAATTCTTGGACAAGCAAGTGATTCTCATACAATTCAGGTACAACCTTAGTGTTTTTTTTCTGTTTATAACAAAAAAAAATATGGAATATGGAAAAGCATTTAATAAATTAAATTGTAACTGTTTTCTTATAAACTTTACTTGAGAAAAATTTTCATTTCTTGCTGTGTTCTGCTAGATCACCTCTGGAAACTAAAAAAACAGCAAATGCAGATAAAATTCTACACAACCATTTCTGTAATTATTACCTATAGATGACCTGAGATTCATCCATAGGTTCAGATGAACCTTTGCCAGATAACCTTACTTGAGACTTTTTTCTGTTTACTAATGTTATATATTTACATTCAATAACTTCTGAATTATCCTTACAGCCACATCTGCCTTCCGTAACGGACAATATAAATGAAGTAGACTTTCACCCAAAGGATTATGATCGCATACTGGCAGTCGTATCAAGAGAAGGAGAAAAAATTCCAGTAATTCTCTGAATGTCTTTTTTTTTTTTCCCCTAGAAAATGATGTTTATAGATAAATCATTCCATTATTGAACATATAAGTATCTATTAGATTGAATTATTGTTAGTTACAAATGAACCTCTCAAGGATTGGTGTAAGAAAACTATAATATGTCTTCATTAAATAAATTTCTAGTATGTTTGTTGAAATTAAACCTGTAGTTATCTTGAACAGAAATTTAGCATCTCTTTAGCAACTAATGTTCTTGAACAGAAGTTTGGTAACTATGTTCTGTTTTATTAATTTTTCAGTTAGACACTCCAGTGATTGCAAAAGGACCAGTAGAACTTTGGTTGCAGGATTTATTACATGTGCAGCAGATTTCATTGCATGGCATAATTAGGGCAGCGTATTACCAAATTAGTGACCCAGGATATCAGTTGCTGAATTTTCTTAATCACTTTCCAGCACAGGTGAGATTACAGGATATGAATTTGTGAGTGCAGTCTGGATTATGTGTGTGGGGAAGTGGGATATAAAGAGCATATGGGATTGTCTACACGAGAAGGTTTTCATAGAGGAAATAAGGATATGGATCTACTCAGTAGAAGACCATACTTAATGACTTACATTTTATTACTCTAACATAATATTTTTCTTTTTAATTTACTCTAAAATGACTTTTTTCTTCTCTTGGAGAATATGAAGTAGAGCTTATATTTTCTGTGATGGATATTGAACCCCCTTTCAGATGCAAATAAAATGTCATGTGCAGATTGATTTCTCTCTCATAATCTAAAATTGCAAGAGCTAAGGTTATGATTATTTATCTCACTATTTACAAGATTTACCTCATAGTTTTGTCACTATGGTAATGCAATGCTAATAGAAGCCTACCTTAAAGGATTCTAGTTTGCCTAGAGACTCCTCCTTCTTACTGATAATTCATAGATTTCATTAACAAGTAATGAATTGTTTCCCATCCTGTATAAATTCAGTACAGTGCTGGGTGTAATTTTTTTAATAGAAATTCTGCAAATATTAAAACTGGCCAATACATTGTTAATTTTTTAAAAAATCAGTATGCTTAAGTATTAGTAGAATTATCTTAAAGCTGTATTTGTGACATAATTATGTATTATGTCAGCAGTATTTATTTTAAAAAGTCTACTACTTTTCTTTTAACAGATAAGGACTGTCTGTCTTGTTTGCATGTCAAACATTTTGAAGTGGCTTTATTACCATCTGCAAAGTCCTTCTTTCCCATGTCTTGCTAATCCAAATGTTTTTATGTTCAAATAAGTATTTTTGTTAGAAGGGAGGGGGGTGAGATGGGGTGGGTGGGGAGAAGAAGAAAATTGGTTTTGGCCAAGAAATTTAAAGTATAGAGAAAGTAAAGTTGTATTATGGGACAGAGAAGAAATTGGGCAAAATACCGACAAATACATGAAATGTTTTCTTTCCTTCAAACTACCTTTTCTCTGTCTCATAATCTTCTGTTATAGGTAGCATGAAAAAGTCACATCCAAAGATATTTCTTTTTCTTCTGACTAGTCAGTCATTCTAAAATAAATTTATTTTAGACTCTACTGATGATAGCCTAATGATTCTAAAATGGTGTGATATTTCCTGCTACACAATCTCTGTATCCATGAACTCACTAAAGCGACAGGGAGATAGAAAAATAGAAAGAGTGGGTTCGCTGAATTTTTAGGTCTTTGAATGTAGAAATGTGAGGATTTTCCACAAGGTATTGATACAGTTCTTGTCTGTCCTATTTTGTCATGAGTGTGCCTGATATTGTAAATCAAAATCAATCCAAGACAGTAGTTTACACGCAACATCCTATAACTCTAGATTTATTTTGAAGCAAAATAACTTGTAGGTCAATTTTCTCTAGGCTGTACTCCAGTCATGACAGTGTGTTAGAAAGATAGCAATCCATCCCATGTTCAGTAGAAATGCACAGCATTTTTTTTAAATAGTCTTTAATTAGCCTCGAATTCACAACGGGAAATTTTCAGAAGAACTCCCTACAATTTAAGACTTATTTATTTTTGTGATACTGGAGTATACTAAGAGATTGTAAGTGAAACTGAGAATCGTCCTTAATTTACGTGTATCTCAGTATGTGATAAATTTTCATAAAAGTTTTAAAATGTTTTTCTCAAGAGTTTCCAGTACTACGTCAGAGCCAGTTAAAACAGTATCCTAGTGAGATAGCATCATGCTGGATGTAGTGATAATATGGGACTCTGCACCATAATTTATTGTTACTATTTATTACACTTAAGACTTGTATGATAAGGCTCATGTTCAACAAGTGATTCTTTTTTGTTTTTCTTCACATATTAAATTTTTAGGTTGGATTACTGGGAATTCAAATGTTGTGGACACATGATTCAGAAGAAGCTCTACAGAATGCTAAAGAGGATAGAAAAATCATGCAAGTAACCAGTGGGAGATTTCTGGAGATTCTAAATGTGTTGATTAGCCAGACCACACATGATCTTTCCAAGTTTGACAGAGTGAAATTTGAAACGCTTATTACCATACATGTGCATCAGCGTGATATTTTTGATGATTTGGTAAAGTACAGATTCAGATTTCTGACAATTAAATGTATTTTCTGTAGTAATAATTTTTCTTATTTGTGGTAGCTAGTTACACGTTATGCATGTGTTTGTAACACAGAGATGTCCATAATTTCATTGTAGTAAAAATAGTACATTTTTGCTTAAACTAGAATAAAATCCATCAGTTCTGTTATCTAAATATTTGCTCCAAGTTTTAACACTTTTCTCAGAATATTTCCACTTCTTCCTACAGAATTGTCTTGATAGACAAAAGCCTTTTAGCATGTCCTTTCTTTGAAAAACTTGTATTATTCTTACTTGAAAAACTAAAAAAGTTGAGTCTGCTGAGAGTGTTAGTAGCTTTATCATCATACATAATTTCCTAGTTGGCACTAGGCTGCACTTTAGCTCCACACATTCTAGAATTACAGCTAGATAGCGACATCTTCCTTTATCTCCTAGTTTCTTCCTTCTGTCTCTCCTGCTCTCTTGAAGAGCAGGCTACTGGGATTCTCTTTCTGGTTCGTAAGGAGAATACATAGAAGACAAACAAACAAAAAAGCCTATTAAATTAAACAGATAGTGCCAATCCTATACGGGAACTTTTTAGACTGTCTTAAATTGTTTACATTCTTTTATTCTTTGAGGAATGACATCTCTCAACACTACATCTGTCACATATTTTTACTGTTGATGACACAAGCTTATTAGATTCTACGCAATTTGCCTTCCATGTCTCAGATCCTTCATCATGCCCTTTGCACCAATGTGTTTGGTGGATTTAGCAGTTTGCTAATTTCACTTGGAGGGTGAGCTGCATTACCAAAGCAATTTAAGATTTATTTATTTGATTAACGTAGATGTTGTGTTGATCAGGTTAAATGATCAGGACATTTTTTAATATCAGTTCAGCATACATCTGAACATATTATGTGATGCTTATGTATTTCAGTTTACTTCTGTAGGATCTTTAACCTGAGTAATGACTCATTATTCTCATACAAATAAGCATTTTATCATAGGTATCAAATGTAAAAAATGTGAATGCTCAGTTTTAACATACACATTCGTTTACTTTCTTTTAAGGTAAAAATGCACATCAAATCACCAACTGATTTTGAATGGTTAAAGCAGTCTAGATTCTACTTTAAAGAGGATTTAGATCAAGTCTTGATATCCATCACAGATGTTGATTTTGTTTACCAAAATGAATTTCTGGGTTGCACTGATCGTCTGGTTATAACACCTCTTACAGACAGGTTAGAAAAACAATTACGCATCATGAATACTTATAATACATATATAGTGTTTATTTAATATATCTCTTCAAAGAGGTACATTCTGAATTAAATCCTGTGTGGGCTAGATCCTTCATGAAATCTTTTTATACATTTGCTTAATCATAGTCTTTTAGAAAAAGTAAAGTAGAGTCTCAACAATTTGTATACTTAGTAATTCCTAGAAAAGTTTTATCTGGGAAACAGTTTAGATTTATCCATAAGAATCTAGATGTTGACAAAGTCCCAGATGTATGCACTCACTTGCTGTGCTTCTGCAGCCAGGGAAGCAAATGACCATTAATTTTCTTTCAAGCATGGCTTAACAATGATAAATATTTTTCTCTTTTCCTCTTGAGAGTGTCATGGCTTCTTTTCTTTTGTCAAGCATCTTCCTCTATTTATTCCTTTCTTGAGATGTCGTTTTTGACCAAATCAGAAAATAGAAGGCCAAAAGATACTTGCAAAAAGAACCTCTCAGGAACCACAAATAACTTCGAACCTAAAATCATTCACTTTCCTACCTGTGGAATATGTGTCTGTACAGCTTTTTGAACACCTTAATTTCTTGAGAAGAGGTAGGACTCCTGTTGTGGCAATATGGAAAGTTCACTATATTTCTGCAGTGAACTGTATTGCCCTCAACAATCAAGTATTTTTGATGCAAAATGTTAAATTCTACCCCAAAATTTGCCTTGAGCCCAATAGAACTGTAGAAGTAAAACCTAAGGTAACCTAACCTAATGAAATGTATACAAAGGTAACCTAACCTAATGAAGTGTATACAGATTAAGATACGGGAGAATATGATGAGATGGCAGAATTCAGCAGCAGAATCTGTTCTTTAGAGCTGCAAAAAGCGTTAATGACAATTAAATTCCTTTGTGGTGTGCATTAGTTTTTTTAGCTTATCTGATATTCACAGTTTGTACCAAACTAGATTAACACTAGATGATTTTTTTTTGCTTTTATAAGTAATGTTTAAATGCTATATTTTGAGACTTTTACCATTCTGAACTTCCTGCACTCACAGAAATCAATGGAACTGCTTTATGAAGAAGTAATGTTTCAACATAAAATATATAGAATCTATTGCATAACTCATTGTTATATATATACACATACATCTTTCATATGATTTAATAAATTAATATGAATTAACATTTATAGGTGCTATATAACTTTAGCTCAGGCTTTGAAAATGAATATGGGAGGAGCTCCAGCAGGACCAGCTGGAACTGGTAAAACAGAAACAACGAAAGACATGGGAAAAGCTCTGGGAAAATACGTAGTAGTCTTTAACTGCTCTGATCAGATGGACTTCAGAGGTTTGGGTAGGATTTTCAAAGGTAAGACTTCTTCATGTAGGATAGAAGGAAGGACCCTCACAGGTCATTTGGCAGGTGCAGTTATATTAGGTTATTCAAGACCTTATTCATGTTGGGTTTTGAGTATCTCCAGGGATGGACGTTCCACAACACCTCTGGGCCCCTATTCAGGTGTTTGGCCATCCTCACAGTAACGTTTTTTATACTTTCATTGACTTGGAATTTCCCACATTGAAACCTGTGTCCATTGTCTCTTCTTCTTCTTCCACTGCACTTCTGAGAAGAGCCTGGCTTCAATTTTTCAGTGTCTCCTATTAGCAATAGGCCTTCCTCTTAGCTTTCTCCTCAGGCTCAACAAATTGTGTTCTCTCTCTCTGCCTCTGTGTCGTGTCCTCCAGCCACTGACCGTCATAGCAGCCATCTGCTGGACTCATGCAAGTATATCAATGTCTCACCTCTATTGCTAAGCCCCAAACTGGACACAGTATTCCAGCTGCTATCTCACAAGTGCAGAGTAGAGGCAAACAATGATTTTCCTCAACCTTCTGGCTACACTTGTGCCCAATATACAGCTAACTTACTTTGCTACAAGGACATAATTCTGATTTATGCTCAATTAGTTGTTAAGCAGGACACTAGCTTAATTTTTTTCTGCAAAACTGCTTTGTAGCCAGTCAGCACCGAGCCTGTACTGCTGCATAGAGTTATTCTGTTCCAGATAAAGGACTTGAACTTCATGAGATTTCTCTCAGCTTATTTTTCAAAGTTATGGTATTATATGCATTGAGAAGCAAGAGATGAAACAAATATTTTATTATTATTTTTAGTTTTAGCAAGCAAATAATTGTGGCATAAAAGTGTCTAAAGCTGTATGTTTATAAACATATTGCCCCTTTGAAAGTCATGCTATTCAAATTTTTAAAAAATCTTTGAGTACATGACAGAATCCCTTTAAAGTGATTTAGCCTTAACTGTGTAACAATAGTATACCCTGAATGAATTAGATTAATTTTTCACTTTTAAATAACTATCTTTCAGTATACATGAAAGAAAACCACTGCCTACTTATACTTTAATAACGTTTGGAAAAAAATGCTGCTACAAATTTTTCTCACAAAATGTTGCTGAAGGAGCAACAATTCTCTTAGTTGCTACTAAATACATGTTACTTTTCCAAACTGAAATTAGGCAACTGTGAAATTAATCCTTAATAAAAATGTTATTGTTATTAATATAGTACTTCTAGATTTCTCTTTCCATTTATTTTTTTTTCCTCTGTCTTCCTCTCTTTCATAGACAAGTTCACACAGAGCATTATCCACACTTTCCATGTTGTTAATATCCTGTACCATTACATGAAAAACTTGTCATTTAGTGTGAACTTAAAATGATAATGCTTATGCATAGAGATATACGCATAGATTGATATTTTCTATCTTATGAGATTCAGAGTTTTATTTAAACCCCTAGTTAATGCAAAAATAGTTTCAGTTTTTAATTTTAACATTTATGATTTATAAGAGGCAAGTAAAAAGTAATTTGAAAGCATTGTGAAGGCTAGAAGACCCAAATGAAAATAAAAAACTTATTTTTATGTTGTAACATTTAGGGCTAGTCTTTTGTAGCTCTAAAAAAACTTTGGGATTTTTATGTTGTAACGTTTAGGGCTAGTCTTTTGTAGCTCTAAGTCACTTTTTTTTTTTTTTTAGATTAACAATGCAGCTTTTTGCAAATAATGGGATTGCTGCTTTACAATAAAAGATTACATTTGCAGAAGGATCTGAATGAAAGATCTGCCAAACGCCCCAAGATATCAAAAGATTTTTTCTGATTTTGATTCACTTTTATGAGTTTTGTATAAATCAACTAATATTAATTCAGATTGATATGGAAATAAGTGGATTAGAGGAAGTTAGGCCTTGGCAACAGGGCAATAAATAAAACTAATTTTATTTAAATATTTGAAGGAAAAGTAATCTAGTTCAGATATCTCAAATATGCATGAAGAACAACAGATAATACATTTTTCTGTCCCTGTTTTAGGTCTTGCACAGTCTGGATCTTGGGGATGTTTTGATGAATTCAACCGAATTGAGTTACCTGTCTTGTCAGTAGCAGCACAACAAATCTATATTATTTTAACAGCAAGAAAAGAAAGAAAAAAACAGTTCATTTTTTCTGATGGAGACTGTGTAGATTTAAATCCAGAGTTTGGGATTTTCCTAACAATGGTAATTGTAGTAATTCCAGAGAAGTGACAAATTATACCGTATACAAGTTAATTTAATGGCAAGATGAAAATAACTGATTTTATTAATTAAATGATGCTGTTGCTATAGAATTAGACTAAATTACTGGAAGACATAAATAATCTTGATTATTCATGAATTACATACTTTCAGTTTTACCTTAAGATTATTGAAAAGGTTCATAATTACGTCTCTTCATTACTGTATTGCAATTCATTATGTAGACTAGGAGTTTGGCCAAGCTTCCAAACTTCTCTGTGCTTGCTGAGAGGGTTGAAAAACTAATATGCTTACTACCTTAGCTTGAAATGCTTTAAAAGTAGTAGTGAGAAAGATATTGTAGGAAAACAAAACAAAACATCCAATTAAAGCAGGAGAAATAAGAAAGACGCACATCTTGTCTAATGGGTACTTTACATAAAAGAATTCTTCAAGCTAATTTACAGAAGTATGATGATTCTGGAATAAATCACTCTCCTTCTACTGTGGTCACAACAGGTCTTTTCAAAATCTGTGCAGAAAGCTATCAGACCCTTTCATTTGTTGATACAGGGTGTGTCTAAACTGGTAAATACAATGCTGGATATCGACTTTTGACCTTCAGTGGCAAAGGGGCCCATTCTGCTCTTTGAGTCAATTCTGGAATTAGAGTGGGCATTGTGAAAGAACTGTGCTTCTTATATCATGAAGTTTTTGTGGTTGGTATTCGAGATACATTGTTCCCTCTCTTATAACAACTACTTGTGAAAAAGACTTGCAGTATATATAGATCAAAGTTAGGTCCCACAACTGAATGGTTGATCTGCACAAAAAGATATGCAAGGCAGTATGTATAATTTTACACCCGTTACTAACCATTACCCATGGGAGAAACACAATCTCCTGGATTTAGAATATTAACCTTCAGAGTATGCTGTCATCTTGCCGTAGGGTTCCTGAGACTTCAGAACACTAATTTCTGTAATCTCATGGGCAGACAATTTTATAGTGTATGTTTCCTAGTGCTAAGGCAGATGGCAATCCAAGATGACTTTATGGGAAATTTAAATCTTCATCTGCATATTTGACTGCAGAATAATAACGGAGGAGGTCATAAATATCTGTCAACTGCTTCTAATTTCTTAAATGTCAGTTGTTCAATTTCAGAGTTATTCTTCATGTTTGCAGCAAGTTTCCAGAAATCTTCTATTAGTCAAACTTTCCTGGTCATTAAAATTTTCTTCCATATGACTTCTTGTAAAGTTTTCATGTTTTAAGTTTGTTGACTGTGTTATTTTTACTGTGTCATTGCAAAATATTCTCTGCATATTCCTGAGCCATGATTAAAATCAGTTCTGTTACTAAAAGAGAATTACAATTTCTTAGTTGATTCTTACTTCAGTAGATAGGATTAATTCACAAACTATTAATCAATCATTGAGATTCTATACCTTAAGGCTAGCCTTTTAGATGCAAGAAATACAGAAGGGCATCCTCATATTTCTTCACTTGTAGACTGCTTATTATCCTTTTTTTTTTGGCTCTTGCTAGGCTCTAAATTTTTAACATGTTACAAAACCTACCTCTTCTGAAAAATGGTAATGAAAATTTTATTTGCATTAGGAATATGCCAGAACAAATCAACCAACTAGACTGTATACCATGAAATTTTAAAATTCTGATTGCTGGCTTGCTATGATAAAGAAATTCAGTTATTACTCTGGCAATTATGCACAGGTTATTAAATTCATAGTTATGGTTTACGTTTTTTCTTCGCATTTTAAGCATTAATAGACAAGAATTCTAACTGTGAACAGATCTAGGTTCATAAATTAATAAATTAATAAGTTAATTAATTAACTAGGTTCTAAATTAATAAATTTACTTTTATTGAACAATAAAAAAGATGTTATTTTAATTGTTCTAAATAATAATACAGTATGTTTTCTTATGTAGAATCCTGGATATGCTGGACGTCAAGAACTACCAGAAAATCTCAAAAGTCAATTTAGAACTGTTGCAATGATGGTTCCAGATAGACAGGTACAATTACTGACTGAAATGAAAGAAAAAATGTATTTTACTTTGCTTACCTATCTTTGCTTACCTTCCTATCATCCTAATTCACTAATGGAATTTCTGAAAAAATTGTATTTCAGATAATTATAAGAGTTAAGCTTGCAAGTTACGGATTTATTGATAATGTGATCTTGTCTCAGAAATTCTTTGTTCTTTATAAACTTTGCGAAGAGCAGCTCACTAAGCAGGTAGCGTTATGTATTCATTTCCTCTTTGCCTTCATATTTACACAACACAGTCCTTTAGGTTTTGATTTGTGCAGATTGCTTTTGAAACATCACTTTTATGCTTTTTACGAAAAATTGAAGTGGTTTAAGTATAATTCAAACAAATACCTCTATAAAGTTTTTGAACAAATAACCAAATTAATTCATATATAGGTAGTCACGTGCACACATTTGTTTAATTGTTAAAGAATGATGGTTTGTAGTTGCAAGTGCATGAGGTTCTTTACCTAAACATGGCAGCCAGGTAAAAATTAACCTGGTTGTGTCATTTTTCTGTAAGAATTATCTAGGGCTAGAGAAAGTAGTTGGAAATTGGAAACCACAGGTGGAACATCTCAAGTTTGATTTAAGTTGCCCTTCTCCCCATAGCACTGCTTTGATCTGAGGTCTTGGCTTTAAGCCGCCTCAGTTAGACAGACCCAGTCTGGAATGGAACTATTTTTTTTTTTGTAGGACCCTGCTATAGAGAGGTACAAAATAATTGCTATATGACATTATAAATGGTGAAGTCGATTAAGTTTATATTAGAAAATAAAAACTTTATAACTTCCTCCCCCTTTTCTGAAAATAACCTAATTATCCTTCCTTTATTTTAATAGAATGATTCCTAAACAACAGCATCAGTTCCTATTTTATCTACCTTTTCCAGGCAGGGCAACTATATTATAAATATGCAAGTAAAGTTTAATATACTGATGAAATAAAGCTAGAGTAGTTGTTACTGATGCAGAAGCCTTTTTTCCACTCTCTAGGTCCATTATGACTTTGGTCTGAGAAATATCCTTTCAGTACTGAGGACTCTTGGATCTCAAAAGAGGGCCAGGCCAAATGAAAGTGAATTAAGTATTGTTATGAGAGGGCTAAGAGATATGAATCTTTCTAAACTGGTAAGACTCTAATTTAATAATTTAGCACCATGTATAGGCAAGTCTACTAGATATTTCATGGGGTTTTGTAGAAAATTAGAAAAATTCTCAAACATCCCTTTCTTTAAAAATTGAAACATGATAATCATCATGTTGTCATAAACAGCAATAAGAATTTATTAGACTTGTAAACAATGCTCAAGGTGCAAAGGTTCAAATAGGTTAATAGTGGCTCGGCTGTAGGTGTGACAGTGTATGTACTGACTTGCGTGCAGACTGCTGTACCATAAGTAAACTGAATAATTTGACTATCCTCTAAATTAGACTTTTAAAGATTTCTTTCCTGACGGGATGTTCTTTCCAGTACATGCTGTAGGTGTTTTACAAATAGATTCCAATGTCTACTCAGTGGGAAATTTCTTTCAATTTTGAATTTATTTCTCACATGGCATATGGATGACATTTTCAAAATACTATTTTTGTAGTGAGCTGTCCTGTTGGCTGACTGTGTTTATGACCATAAACATCTGTATTTAGAAAATATATTCTTACAGTTTGTTATTTTAAAATAGAGATTAATTTTGGTTTGAGAACATTCTTTGGATAAGTATACTTTAAGCATTTAATATCTTTTTTGTTTCAGATAGATGAAGATGAGCCTTTGTTTCTCAGTCTTATCAATGATCTCTTTCCGGGCTTACAGTTGGACAGTAGTACCTATGCTGACCTTCAGGCTGCAGTAGCTAATCAGGTTGAAGAGGCAGGATTGATTAACCATCCACCATGGAATCTTAAGCTTGTTCAGGTAGAACCTTTTCTCCAAAACATTTGTAACAAACAGGAGTCAGAACACCATGTTAGTAATTAAACCACTATTTTAGTCAAGGACCTGTGCTTCTAATATGAGAAAACAACAAAGGTTGTGTTGTGCACCACAAAAAAAAAGGTGAAAGAGAGAAAATTTTTGAAGTGTTCCAAGAAACTATTTTGACTTCAGAATATTTGTAAGATATTATGTTTAGTAAACTAATGATTTAATAATTAAATTGTAGTTTGGGATTATAGTAATCTGTGTTTAGTGCTTGATAACCTTTATGATTTCTTTATTCATTTTCATAATGAATATGTAGTTATCTAATATGAAGGAAAAATGTGCTTAAATGGCTTTTGGGACCTGTACTCCAACGTAACATTTAAATGGCTGACAGTTGTATTTCTGACATGCAATCATGTTTGAAACTCACTTCAAATGTATTATTAAAGACAGTTAACTCATGTTCTGATGATCTTTATGCCAACACACTTTCCTATACACATCCTTTTTCAAAGAACAAGATTAAAAAAAATGCAGCAGACTAACAATTCAAGAAATAAATAATTAGACAATCACTAAACAATTATATGTTGACAAGTTAGAAAGGTAACTAGAGCATTGTTGCTCTTTTGTCTTTTTGTTCTCTTCTTTTTTGAGAAAACACTTTAAGTATTGATGATAATGTTTTTAAGCATTATGACTTTCTTGGTTTCCTGTGTTCTCTGATTTTTCGTGTTTTTTTTTCTGCATGTAGGCAACAAGATGTGAACACTTTTTCTTGTAATACCATCCTTTAAACAGTGATCAGCTTTACTTTATAGGCCATGTTGCTCATTGAAATTGAACTTGGAGCCTTAATTAGTGAAATGGATTTATTTTTTAAAATCCTATTAATTGCAGAAATTGAATTTTACTTTGTAAAATTTGTCAGCCAGAAAAGAATTATGCTGTCTTCTAATTTTCATATTTCACTTATCTCTACTTTTTGGATAGTTATTAAACACTGTTAATGGCTAAGACTAATGGTTAGACATTAACCATTTGTAGTGGCTGAAAACCATATTGCTCTTGAAGCATTTATTTGTAATTTTGCTGATTGCCAAGATGACAGTATAGCTACAACTACTGACACTTAAGAACATTTTCCCTATGGAAATATGTTTGCACCTTCTTGAAATGGAACCTCAGAATTAGAAACTTCCTGAAACTACAGGTCTTGAAGTGCTAGGCTTGTTCATTGACTGTACAGTCTTAAATTAGAAACTACATCATTGGCTCCTGCAAACTAAGTATCTTAAAAGAGTCTGGATGTAAAGCAGGAAAGGCACTCTGAAATTTGTGCTTATTACCAGATTTCTGAAAATTTCTAAACTTGTCTAGCTTAAACAAAACTACCATGTGATATGTTGAACGAAAGCAAAAGATACAATGCATTACAGTATTCTACAAACTGCAACATTCTGCCTTATGTTACTTTACAGCAACTAAAATATCATGTCTGTATCATCAAAACAGAGGTATATTTATGGCTCTGCTCGGACTCCACCTAACTGACAGAATGTTTTGCTCTACATTCTGCACGGTGGATCTATATTGTCCTTCACACACCTTCACACTGGTTACCAGCAGAATTTTTGCATGGCAGAAAACACTTTTGACCATTCTGCTTAAAGTCATATTCACTGTTTTATTCATGACTTAGTATATCTGGTTGCCAAACTGGTCATAGGACAATTGCTTGTGCCTTAACAAATTCCATCTTCTGCTGTGAATAACAAGTTTGAAATTGTCAAGTTCGTGGTGGAATTTATCTTAGTTTAGATTTGTGATGCCTGTAGATCTTCCTTCTGGACTGATACGAGCCTTTATTCAGGTTGCAGAGGAAGCAGCTATTTATGCTTCTCCTTACAAGGTCCCATCATCCAGGAGGACTACCACTTTTTCGTTCCTTTTATTTACTCCAAAAGGAGATACTTGTGTAGGCAGACCCTACCACTTCCGTAGCAAGCCGAAAGCTAATATTAAAAGAAAAATAGAAAATTCGATAAAGAACTGTCATGAACCTAGACATGTCTGCAATCCTGTAGAAGTGCTGTCCCTATATTTATTTTGTATACTCAGGTAATTCTTCTGTTGCATTAATGTTTTGCTATTATTCATTTTTCCTTTTGAATAATACAGAAAATCCTCTTTAAAATTTGGTAAAATTATTTTCAGTTGCTTTGAAAAGTTTAGACAAGGTTTAGTTCTGTAAGCTCTTTTATAGTAAACTTATTTGGTGCTTAGAAGATTAGTATGTGAAAGTATGTATTATTCCACAAAGCACTACAAATCAGCAAACACATGATGTTTTTAATTCTGACCATATAATTTGTACGTCTAATACACTTATAATCACTGACTATCAAAGGTACTAAATGCAAGCAAAAGTTTTCCAAAAGTGTATATTTCTTAAAATATTATGATTTTTTTAATAGTTGTATGAAACTTCTCTAGTACGTCATGGGTTGATGACACTTGGACCTAGTGGATCTGGAAAAACAACGGTCATAACTATATTAATGAGAGCACTGACAGAATGCGGCCAACCTCATAGAGAAATGCGTATGAATCCCAAAGCTATTACTGCTCCTCAAATGTTTGGAAAACTAGATGCTGTAAATAATGATTGGACAGATGGAATCTTTTCTACACTGTGGAGGAAAACACTGAAAGCTAAAAAGGGTATGTAAATACTTGGGGTGTGGTATATAAAAAGGATATAACATATCTTGAATGATATGTTGAAAAAAGCATCTTGAATTAGGAAATGTGGTGAAGTCCCCTCTTGAGAGAAACTATAGAGAAGATAGATAATGGTACAATTCACATCTCAGAAAAGGCAATGATTTAAAAATGTACTATTTCAGTGGTATATCTACATTAAAAAATTGTTAGTTTCCTTGCCACTTCAGTTCCACAGTGGAGATCTGTTATTTGGAAGCTGATAAATTATAATTTAAATTTACTTGTAGTAATTGCACTAGCTTTAAAATAATCTTCTTTCTGTGTTTTTTTTTTTTTTTTGATGTTGATTACGTACTTCTATATTTCAGTATTTTACGACTGGAATACTGAAATTCCTTTTCACAGTGATTTGTTTGTATCTGAAAAAATAAAAATATTTTATTAAAGAAATTGAATTCTTCTAGGAAGCCTTTCTAGAAGGAGGTTCTTTTTTTAAAAAGTCGCATTTTCTATGTTGAAAATGTCTATATTTTCTCTATCCGAAATTTTCTCTTTTGAAAACAAAGCCAGAATTTAAAAATTTGATTGCCAAAATTTAGGAATTTTCGTCTATATTAAGGTTTCAAAATAAAAGAAAAACAATTAGATTTTCAGAACTGATCAGTAATGATACTTTTCATTGACTTAAATGGGATCTGTGAATATTCAACACCTTTGTCTAGTGGCCCAAAGAACCCTTATTTTGGCAGCAAAATGCTAAATTCCTCATCTCCCCTGTGCTACTCAGAAGCCCAGCGGTGGGAGAAGGAAGAAGAATTAGATTAGGTTGGGAAGGAAGAAGCTGAAGCTGGAGAAAGAAAAAGAGGTGGGAGAAAGGTGTTTTAGTTTTTTGTCTTTGTTTCTCATCATCCAAGTCTATGTTAATTTGCAATAAATTAATTTTCCCAAAGTCGAGCCTGTTTTGACCATGAGAATAGTTGGCAAGTGATTTTGCTGTCTTTACCTTAACTTATAAGCATTTTCACCTTATTTTCTCCCTCTGCCCGTTGAGGAGGGGGAGTGAAAGAATGGCGTGGTGTCTGTCTGGAAGCCAGCCAAGGTAATATCACCAGAGATGTTCAACATTATAAAGATGTACTTTTGTGTCCTCATTTGATTGTTTCAAAAATAGTCCCTTAACTACGTATGCAATTTATGCAGTAACAAGTGTCCATGGAGATGGCAGAAATTACAATAAATAAAATACATTTTTAAACATTTTTTAAGTTCTATACCATCTTCTGTAAACTTATTTTCTTACCCTTTCAGCATGGTGTTATGAACTGTATCTTTTTTGATTCTTTTTCCAGGTGAAAATGTTTTTCTGATTTTAGATGGTCCTGTAGATGCAATTTGGATTGAGAATCTAAATTCAGTTTTGGATGATAACAAGACCCTCACTTTAGCAAATGGAGATCGAATTCCTATGTCTCCTACATGTAAACTGTTATTTGAGGTCCACAACATTGAGAATGCCTCTCCTGCAACAGTTTCTCGAATGGGTATGGTCTACATCAGTTCTTCTGCCCTCAGCTGGAGACCAATATTACAAGTAAGATTATCACAGAATCATTGAATGGTTTGAGTTGAAAGGGACCTGAAAGATCATCTAGGTCCAAACTCCCTGCCATGTGCAGGGACACCTTCTACTAGAGGTTGCTCAAAGCTCCATCCAACCTTGTGTTGAACACTTCCAGGGATGGGGTATCCACAGCTTCTCTGTGCAACCTGTTCCAGTGCCTCCCCACTCACATGGTGAAGAATTTCTTCCTTATATCTACTCTAAATCTACCCTCTTTCAGTTTAAAGCTGTTACCCCTTGTCCTATCACTACATGCCCTTGTAAAAAGTCCCTCTCCAGCTTTCTTGTAGGCCCTCTTTAAATATTGGAAGGCTGCTAGAAGGTCTTCCCGGAGCCTTCTCTCCTTCAGGCTGAACAGCCCCAACTCTCTCAGCCTGTCTTCATAGGAGAGGTGCTTCAGCCCTCTGATCATCTTCATGCCCCACCTGCGGCCTCGCTCCATCAGGTCCATGTCCTTCTTGTGTTGAGGGCCCCAGAGCTGAAGGCAGTACTCCAGGTAGAGTCTCATGAGAGCAGAGTAGAGGGGCAGAATCACTTCCCTCAACCTGCTGGCCACGCTTCTTTGGATGCAGCCTGGGTTATGGTTGGCTTTCTGGGCTGCAAGCACACATTGCTAGCTCATGTTGAACTTCTCATCAACCAACACCTCCAAGTCCTTCTCCTCATGGCTGCTCTCAATCCATTCTCTGCCCAGCCTGTGCTTGTGCTTGGGATTTCCATAGCCCATGTGCAGGACCTGGCACTTGGCCTTGTTGGACTTCACAAGGTTCACATGGGCCCACCTCTCAAGCCTGTCAAGATCCCTCTGGATGGCATCCCTTCCGTCCAGTATGTTGACCACACCACACAGCTTGGTGTCATCAGCAAACTTGCTGAGGGTGCACTCGATCCTACTGTCCATGTTGCTGATGAAGACGTTAAAGAGCACTGACCCCTGAGAACACCAGTCATCACTGGTCTACACTTGGACATTGAGCTGTTGGCCGAAACTCTTTCAGTGCAACCATCCAGCCTATTCCTTATCCACTGAGTACTCCATCTGTCAAATCCATGTCTCCAATTTAGAGACAAGGATGTCGTGCAGGACAGTGTCAAATGCTTTGCACAAGTCCAGATAGATGATATCAGTTGCTCTTCCCTTATCCACCAATGCTGTAACTCTGTTGTAGAAGGCCGCCAAATTTGTCCTGCATGATTTGCACTTAGTGAAGGCATGTTGCCTGTCACCAATCACCGCTTTATTTTCCATGTTTCTCAGCATAGTTTCCAGGAGGATCTGCTCCATGATCTTGCCAGGCACAGAGGTGAGACTGACTGGTCTGTATTTCCCTGGGTTTTCCTTTTTCCCCTTTTTAAAAATGGGGGTTGTGTTTCCCCTTTTCTAGTTGATGAGAACTTCACCAGCCTGCCACAACTTCTCAAACGTGATGGGTAGTGGCTTAGCAACTTCATCCACCAGTTCTCTCAGGACCCGCTGGTGCATTTCATCAGGTCCCATGGAGTTGTCCACCTTAAGGTTCCTTAGAAGGTCTCAAAACTGATCTTCTCCTACAGTTGCTATCATTGCTGGCTACTCCTAACTTTACCTTGTTATACATTTTATACAGAAAAATACTGTGGTTGTTTTTCAGGCATGGCTGAAAAAACTTTCTTCTCAAGAAGCTGAAGTTTTACAAAGTTTATATGATAGAATCTTTGAACCAGCATATAAGTATATGAGACTAAACCTCAATCCAAAAATGGAACTTCTGGAATGTAACTACATTATGCAGGTAAAACAGTCGCTGTGTAAGATTGTATGAATTGACTGACTGTAGTAAGTGTGCAGGAATAGCAAAGAGAACATTTGAAAGCAATAAAATTAATTTGAAAAGATTGTTTCCTAACAAAGAAAACCTCAAACTCAATATTTGTTTCTTAGGCAATATAAGAGCAACTATTACAGATGTGCAGAAGAAAATTTTTCTTCTTATTGCTTCATATGTAGGCTAGTCTTCTGTTGACTGGAATTTGCAGGCTTCAATAAGTTTTCAGAAGCATATGTTTAATGAGCTAATCATCTCATTCTAGTTCTTCTAATATCAAACAAATTGTGGTAAGGGTCAGCCTAAACCTACGGGTAGTGCCAGCAGAAAGAGTGAAGAATGTTTTATCTCAAGATGCAATAGCTGTGATTCTGATAGTCAGCTCTTCCAAGGTCAATGTAGTAATTTTTGCTTGTCCCTTTCTGGCAATTGGAATTCTACCTTGAGTGCAGTCCAAACTTTATCAGTGATTTATTAATGATTAAATTATGTGTTTTGCAGATTTTGCCAGAATGTCAGTCCTATACTTCATGTCTCCAGCTGATTTGTTTATGAGTCTGTTGTCATCTGCAGATTCTAAATCTACAGACTTTCCATTTTTCCATGTAATCTCAGTTGTATATGGACACTCTCATAATAAATCAGTAGTGCTTTTGAATAAGAGGGTAGACAAGATAATATTTGTGATGATGCTTCAATTGAACGAGTCAGTTTGCACCCAATATCTCTTTACTGTTCATTATGGATTTAGCTTCAAATTTTCAACAGTTTGAAGTATTTTGCTGTAAATGAACAGCCACAGTAAATGCTGGAAAGATTAACTGTGCAGTATCAAATGGAATTAGAATACCTATAGAATCGAAGTCCGGAGGCAGAAACTACATAACTTGCCAATTTATAATGATAAACAAGATGGACGTGCCATGCACAAGATTTTAGAGACAGAAAATATTTTCTTCTTCTGTGTTTTCTATCTGTGAAACCTCTGGCTGAATTGATACTGTCTTCATGGAAGACTTTTCCTGGGACTAGAAGTTTCTGTGTTATTTTTGATCAGCACTTGTTAGGAAGTGTGAGCAAATCAGTGTTCTACTCATACTGCTTCAACATGAAATGTTTCCCTGATTTAAGCTGTATTGAATATTTCTCCTTGTGGATGAAAATCTCTAGTAAGTTTCTGTCATAGGTGTGACAGAGAAAATAACCCTTAGTGGATCTCCATGCTGGGATTTATCTAAGAACCAGTGAGACCAGAACTTTTACCCTACTTGATCATTTCAAAGATTCAATTCCTCACTTGCTTCCCTCCTCCAGTGCTACATTTGCTTAGTCTTGATTTCTCTTCCCAGCAAGACTTTTATTCTTGGTGTGAGAAGGTAGGGGAAAAAGTCATGTTGGTTTCCGTGCTGTGCAGACACTTGCAGCTACCAGGATTGTCTACATGTATCTCTCATCTCCAGGATCTAGGATCTTTCCTCCAACCATGATCTTCACCTCTTTCTTTCTGGGCCCCCTTTTTTCCAAGATCACTTGTTTTGGGGACCCTTCTTTTCTGCACCACCTCTCCTTTCCAGAACCTTAAGATTCCAGTTTTGCCATAAATGGTCTATGTGCAGAAGCACCGTACTTTATCAGCCTCCTTCTTGATGGTTCTGTCTTATGTCTCTTTATTAATTGTGGGACTCAGGACATGGCACTGTTGTTTAGTTTAGGTGTTTTCAAAATTTAAAACAATCTCAAACCAGTGATGTCTATCAGATAGCAGACTTGTACTTGGGTTCTAAAGTTCAGTTTTGGATGTTCATCTACACATGCATGTGTATCAAATTATCTGTGGTTTGTTAGCACTTGCAATTTAAGTGTTTTTTTCATCTACAACAGATTCATAATGGTTTTATATAAAAAGTGACCTTTGCTTTCCTCCTTGCAATTTCCACTGACTTTCTAACTGTATATATTCTATTATTGTTCCTGGATGATTTTTTTTCTGCTGTTTTTACTTATATGCATTTCTTTTGGCTGTTTACCATCTTCTGGCCCACCTCATTAGGTCGACAAATATATTCAACACAGTTTTTGTTTAGGATTATCCTACCTGAGAAGCTTATTGGAAAAGTCAGTAAAGTTGTAGCTAAAGGAGATCTGATTGATATGGTCTTCATGAAAGAACGAAGATGTTTGGGAAAGTTAAAAAAAAAAAGTTTTAAAACCAGGGATTTACATGGAAGCTAAGCAGTCCTATTGGAAGATAGGAGGTTCATTTCTACATAAATGATCAGAAGATAGGAAATGTGTAATTGGAGTATCAGTTCTTAGGAAAGATAGAGGTTAGCTCTGATCCTGAGGTACCTTTGCTGGGGCCAATGATGTTCAAAATGTTCATAAACAATTTGGAAAAGTTTTAGGTGAAGAAGTTTACTGATGATACTAAATTGTTCAGGGTAGTAAGGACAAAACAGCTAACCATGAAGAACTGTAGACAGACTTTATGAGACTGAATAAATGGGTAATAAAACGGCAAATGAAATTCAGTGAAGATAAGCATGAAGGAGTTCCCACAGGGAAAAAACAAAACTATTCAGTGCCATGAATAGCAGACCTATGCAACATCTTGCTAAAGGGTGTTATAGAAGATAAAAGTTTATGTAGGTTCAAGACCAGTCTTCATATTTTCAGGGCGGAAAAATCCATAGAGGATTACTAAACCCAGAAAAAGTATATTTGGTTCAGAGGGCCTCAAGCTGAAGAGAGTACCAGCAGGAAGTACACCTCCAGTACCATTACAAGCCAAGAGAGTTTTTTCTTTGTTTTTACTCTTCTCTAAGTGTCCATTTTTGGTCACTATTGCAGATCAGATGATGGGCAAGCTGAAGTTTTCATCTGATTTCTTTCAATCATTTGTGTGTTTTTATAAGTCAGATTAATTTTTTCTGTTTTTTTTTTCTTCAACAACTTGTCAGAATATTGCTAAGACCCAGAGTATCATGGGAAATTTTGAACTTGAGCTTGTATTTGAGGGAACAAAAAAGATTTTGTTCAAATAAACTGGGACACAGCCTGTCCTAGAAATCATTAGTTAAATCACTTGTCTTCCAAAGAAGAGAAGTGACATAATTTTAACATTATGAAGTATAACTAATACTGGTTAATCTTCTTTTTAAGACTGAATTTTAAAGTAATCAAAAGTATTCTAACTATTAAGGTCCTTTAGGCTGCATTGAAAAGATATAGTACTACATTATTTCCCTTTCCAAGTATGAGATCCAAGACAGCATAAAGAATACTAATTCCAAGAGCTCATTTAAAATTTGCTTCACTGTTAAAAAGACATAGTTTGAAACAACATGTTTGACGCTCCCTTGTATAAAAAGGTGTCCCAGACCGGGTTAGCTCTTCTTTTTAACAGCTAGAAGAACTCCGTGTTTTGGTTTTACTCAGAGGCTCGCTCTGAGAAGAATGCTGATAGCAAGTTGATGTTTGTGGTTGGACGTGAGACTCCAAGGACTTTTCAGTATGCTGGAGTGCAGAAGCACAGCGGGATAAGGGGGGAGCATAGTTGCGACAAGGGGGACACGATTCCCCTTGTGATTTGTGGTGGAACTTAAGATTGAGGGCCAAACTGGCCAATTAGTATTCCCTATCATGCAGCGTCATGCCCAGTATAAAGTGAGGGGCAGCCGGACAGGAGGGCTTTTGCGCTTTGGCTCTTTCGCCGCTTTTGCTCTTCTGCGCTTGCTGCGCTTTTGCTCTATTGCCTTTTTTTCTCCCTCTCTCTCTCAGTACTCCCACTCTCGGAGTGCTCTCTCTCTCTCTGCCCCTCTCTATTTCGGGGCCTCGCGTTCGTCCGGGATTGCAGCTTCGGGACGAGACGGGCTTCGCATACGAGGGGGTGGTGAGCATCTACACTGTGTATTAAATCATCTGTATTAAATCGTTCTTATCTCAACCCACGGGTTTCCCGTTTATCCTTTAATTCTCTCCCTCATTCCTGGGGGTGGGGGAGGGGGAGTGACCGGCTGTGTGGGAGGGTCAGCCTAACCCACGACAAAAGGGAATATGACTGATGTTAACTAAGACAGTCAATCGTCTGTCTTCATTAACGACATCATGGAATTGTAGACAGAAAGTTACTAGATTTCTGTAATCTAGTTCCTTAGAAATAGAGTGAAGCAATCATAAACCAAGATATATTAATCTATTTTTTTACACACAAATTAGAAGTTAATGTAATAGATGCATGAATTGACCATAATTAAGATAAATATATTAGACAGATGCTGAAAATTCTTCCATGCTTAAAGATGTAAAGAAATGGCTCAGCCTCACCTACTTTTTCGAGCTCTAAATATCCCACTAGATATTATAAAATCCCTTAAAAATCTGTTCTGTTACCCTCGCTCTTAAATGGCATTTATTATATTGACAGAATTAAAAATAGTTGCTGATCAAATTATTTAAGTAATTTTGCAAATTTTATCCGGTTCTCGGATTTGCAGTTCTGAATTTTATGTTATTCTCTGGTAACCTGTATTGATTTTCAAATTATGATTTAAAGTTTGAATACAAATAAATAATGCATGTGCATACATATATATAAATATATAAAAAAAAAGTGATTATTTAGTATTTTCTTTATGCCTAATATTTTTAAAATATTTTCAGTCTATCAATCTTCTGGAAGGTTTGATTCCATCGAAGGAAGAAGGTGGTTTATCAACTATGTTTCATCTGCATAAATTGTTCTGCTTTGCAATAATGTGGAGTTTAGGTGCCCTTCTGGAGTCTGACAGTAGAGATAAACTTGAAGCCTTCATTAGAACTCATGATAAAAAATTAGACTTACCAGAAATCTCCCCTGGCACCAGTCAAACGATGTATGAGTTTTATGTTACTGATTATGGTAAGAAAAAGCATTAACATTCTCTTTTATACTGGCATTTAAAACTAGTTGTAGCTTTAAAATTACTCCTTTTGTCCTTATTACAGTCTCAAGAGCAGAGATTTTTGACAGTATAGTAGTAACACAGGTTCTGTATGCAGCAAGTCTGTGGAAGAGAGAAGTCAGAAACAAGGGACAGAGGGCTCATTGTTAACGTTTTCTTATTTCTTTTGGTTTTAAATTCATTCTTATGGATTTCTTTTCTATAACTTAACCAGCCTACAATTTTTAGATAATTTATGCTCAGGCAGCTTCAGTCTAAATTATATTAATTTTGTATTTAATTTTCTCAGAGCTAGTATTTTTTGTTTAAAAATATAACCTGATTTTAATTCCACATAATAATCATTATTTATCCATGTCTAAGAATCAGTAATAAATCTTACAGTTTATGAAACTGTAAGAGTGATGTGATATTTTGAACATTCTGAATATTGGTATTTTGATTAGTGTGATATTTTCCACAAGGAATTTATAGTTTAAATAACACACAGACAACCAATTTCACAAAGAACTTACTGTTCTTTCAGAGTATATACTCATGTGAATACATCATTTTCTCGTGTATCCAAATTCAGATTTTTTTTTGCCAACAATGTTGATATAGTGTACACATGTGCAATCCGTATTCTCACATTATGTAAGTCTTCACCAGCAGTGTGAGATTGAGTTTCTAGATAAACATTCTTTTGTTTTTTTTTTATTTAGTTAAATGTAAATTCAAGAAATATGTATATATTTAGTAGGATTGTAGACTAATTAGAGGTCATGACTAAGTATGCCCTTTGTTATAAGCATTTCAGCTAGATTTGAGAAAATTTGTCCCTGTTTATACTTTGTAGTACTTCACTTATAGCATCTAGGATTTTTTTTTTTTTTTTAATACTAACGAAATACTGAACATGATCAAAGTATGGTGAGATATTTTCCTCTCTTTTTTTTTGTCATTTCAGGTGACTGGGAGCACTGGAATAAAAGAGTTCAGGAATATATTTATCCAACTGATAATGTCCCAGACTATGCATCTATTCTGGTTCCAAATGTTGACAATGTCAGAACTCAGTTTTTGATAAACACAATAGCAAAACAACAGAAAGTAAGTACAAGATTACTTATTTATGTATCTGCCTACCATATGAAATAAATAAGAATCTACTTATAAAGTAACTGAGAGTTGCAATCATTCGTCATATTCTTTTTCTCTAGTCATTGGTTGCCAGGTGCATCGTTATTTACATATTGCTCTATTTTTATTTTCTTAACTTATTTCTATGCATGAGCAAAATGTTTAAAATATCCTTTTTATAAAATATTTTTTGTCATAAAAATTTAACTCCAACAACCTATTGTTTTTCTCAGAGAAAGACATAAAACCTTACTCTTAGTCTTTACACCATATTCGTGTTTCTGATTTATGCTTTCTTGAATAGGGAAACAAGGAAAATGAATTTCACAGTTCACCTAAAACCTAAAATTCCTAGCCTTTACTCTGTTTTTCTCCTCTCATTAAGAAAGCTATAGTTAATAGCAGTAGCCAGAACTATAGAAAAAGAGAGAACACTCCTCATGCAGCTTTAACCATAAGGGCCAATGTGGTATCATGGCGTTTGACTCAGGCCACATTAAACAATAGATATTAAAACACATATAGACCCCTTTTCAAACAAAGGAAGGTCTGAAAAATACTTATGTTGCTTTAGTACAATGCTCTTAATAACCCTAGCAACTTCCGATGGAAATCTGTGTCAGGCTGTGAAATACAGGTCAATGTACTCCCTTCTTAGTAGCTGGAGCCAATATTAGAAATACCACAAGTGCATAAGCCACTGCTGGAACAGCATCTTTTCTGTAAAATTCTGGGATTTGGACAGTAAACCTGTTGATTTGGTTTGATTAAACTGTTCCAGAGGCCATAATGTGAGTGTGCTTTTGATGTATCTGACATAAATTACAAAAACATGCAAAATCTTTATATTTGGAAACAAATAATTAATCTTTGTACATTAATACCTTGGGAGATACTAATTATATTTCCAGGTACACTCTTTGGCCATCATTGCAATAGAAATAACAAACACTGAAATCTTCCAAGAGCTGTCCTTCTATTACAAACATGTGTCACAAAGGATATATATAGCAAAAACAAATAGTAGAATTTTTATATTCAAATTGGATGTCAGAGACCACTTTACATTATAAAGAAAGCCTTCTTTGGGTCATCCACTGCATGGGACTGCTGCAGTGAATGTGTTGGAAAGTGGAGGAAGTTAGGCAACTGGAAGAAAAACCTCTAGTACATTCTCGCTTCATCCTTTCTTTTTTGACTCTGTAAATTATTAGTCTTGGAGAATCTGGGTGGGATGAAAAACACATACTGTGTTACTGCATATGGAGGCACAGCAAAAGCCTGCCAGAATAATATATCATTCAAAAGCAGATACAGAAACTATCCCTTTCTATAAAATATGTCTGTTACGTGTATTTAATTAGAAGTTTTGATGCTACTTAAGACATTTAAATGTCTGTTACAGGCAGTTTTGCTCACGGGAGAACAGGGGACTGCAAAGACAGTCATGATTAAGGCGTATGTGAAGAAATATGACCCAGAAGAACATTTGTCAAAATGTTTAAACTTTTCATCTGCCACAGAACCATTTATGTTTCAGGTAAAAATACAGATTTTAGGCAATTTTGCATATAATTTCATTGCTAAGTGTTTAAAGTGTACTTAATTCTGATGATAAAAGGAGTGATTTAGAAATAAAATCTAAAAGATCTTTTCCTTTAAGTCACTTAAACGCTTCAGAAAATTCTGGGAAAAATAATTTTTACAGATCAGAATAAAATATAATCGCTCACATAACTATACATATATTAATGATTGCTGTGTGCTTTTGCATTACAGAATTCTAAGAATCCATTTTTTACTGAAGACCTTTCCTTTTCATTTTAGATTAATGAATTTTTTGGTTATACTTCTCCAGTTTTTTCCCTGATTCTTTAGTTTATAACTTTTATTAAATAAAAAGCAGATTTCAACTTACAGATCCTCTTATTTTTCCTCAGCTCAGGAGTTGACTACAGCATCAGAAATCTAGTCTTTAAGGTCCTCTGTCAGGACAGCCTGTTAGAGATTTCCCTTTCCCAACATAGCTGCTAAAAAAATCCACATAAATAGAAACAAATACTAAAAATATTTTTTTTCAAATGATTGAAAGGATGATTTATACCATTGTGCTATGTTTTAATACGACTCATTTGCTAGGATGTGATCGTGTAAGTTGAATTGGCTTCATTACCTTCATTACAAAGCAATGAATTCATGGTGACAATCTTGGAATATTTCTTGGTTGAAAAATCTGCAGATGGAGCAGGTGTTACAAACTCCATTCCAAAATCAAGTGTCTTTTTTAAAAAAGAGCTAATGTAAATGTTATTAAGAAAATGGTGAAAAGTAATGACAAACATTTATTTATTAAAATTCCAAACTTGCAGAACACCTGCTGTACTTTTCTGTTATGCGTAAGATCTCTGGCCATGGTTTATATCGAACTGTAAGACAGAACAAGGCAGGCATCCTTTCATGCACGCAAGATTAATTCAACAGTCAGTATCTCTCTCTGTGTCCTTTACTTAGTGTATCATGGGTCCCTAGAACATTACTGTCTTGAAAACGAAACCTGGACTTCATTGTCTCTGATACAGAGAGTCTGTGAAAGGATCTTATTGTGTCCTGTCTCTGCTACAGTCCTGTAGTACCTCAGAAGATACACTTTCTTTTCAGCTAGCTAGCTGAATACAGAGCTCACTCTGCTGATTTCCAAGAGAGAGATGTAGAAGAAAAATGATTGAAATGTTTCTAAACACTTGAAAGAGCCACACTCAAAGTAGTTTTTTAATTTTGAGTCATCATTCTGAGGATATTTAAAAGATTGGATGATTTTGCATGTTAGACGTGCTACAAAGTTCTCAGTTTCTTATGTAATCTCTTTCTCTTAGCAGTTTCTCTTTTTCACCTTAATCATGTCTCCAAAATAACACGTTAATGCTCACAATGTTCTGTATGTGTTTATCTTAGAACACTCAGCTAATTGTTTCCTATTTTGAAAAAATGGGACAAAAACTTTGGACAAAATTTATATCTGTTTTCTGTTTCAAAAATGCTATTAATACTTCTATCTTTATGACAGCACATGCCTCCTTGCTCATATCGGATGACAGTTATGCTGGTAAAACTAATAAAAAACCCCATCTTCTAAGATATTTTTTTCTGCTACTGTTTGTGTTGAAAGTACCTTTAGAAAGACTGTGGAGCTGTAGAATTTTGCAGATATTTCAATTACATATCAATGTCTTATTTGACTATTGCATCCTGCTTCTCATTTAGTTGAAAACTCAGCCTTAAAATATTATTGCCACCAAAATGTTACAACACTGCATTACTTAGGTTACAAGACATCTGGGAAATCATTGTAAAAAGAATCTAAGTTGCTTCCATATGGTCTGCAGTTGTATTGCAAATATAAAACAATTGATCTTAGCTAGGGGAAATCCAAATCAATCATAATTTTCAGACAGTGCGTGACAAACTCTCTGAAATCAGATTCCATTCCTCTCCAGAGCTACCATTTGGAAAGGAGATTCTTAAGTGAATTTCTAAACAAGTCTAGTATTTATAAAAATTATGCTGTAGATAATGAAAGTACTGTTTCTGCTTGCTGATATTCTGACTTGCTCAAAATTAATACGATTTTGATTAGTCCTTCATTTCTTAAATTGTGTGTGCTATATCTTCCTGCTATATCTTCCCACTATCTCTTACTGATTTGTGAAGTGAGAAAACAAAAAAGCAACAGAATTCACAAGTGCAATTTCTCTTGCATTAGTGTCAACATTTTTGAAGCCTGAAATACAATTCATCAGAAGATGTAATATTTCATACAGAGATAATGTGTCATACTAAAATTAATGTCATTTTAGTTTGATGACTTCATCGTAATAATTGGCTTCAATGGTGATAATGAAATAATAATTTCCAAATTTGAAAACTTTTAAAAAACTTCTCTGGTAGCCAGAGGTGGGTTGCAGGACATATTCCTAAAGGGGGGAATTGCATAGGAATGAGTATAATGAACAGTAGAATAGGATTCCTTAATGATGAGTCAGAGATCAAACTACTAACAAAAAGAGAAAATCACTGGATAAGTGCTGTAGCAGAAAGCAATAAGTAACACTTTTTTTTAACAATACATTTTGAATATTGTTGCTTTAGATGCTGTCATGGTTTGATGTGGAGGGGGGGTGGTTCTGGTGGCAGGAGAGGGGTTTTGCTCCCTGCGACCTCCCCGGTTTTGGAACCGGGTTAGGTTTGGTTCCGGCCACCAGATCAGACTGCCATCCCCCTCGGGATTGAGCCAATAGGGCGCCTCTGCGAATTGCCCTATTTAAGTCAGAACAAAGGGACCGGAAAAGG